TATTATATTTTTTTGGTAAATCAATCTCAATTACACCTATTTTTGGTCAGATCAACAAAAAATATACATTTTTTTCGGCGTGCCACAGAATTTTAGTAATTAGTTTATGTGTGCCATGAGATGAAAAAGGTTGAAAATTGCTGGTGTATAGTACTTTTTATATGTTGTTGGATTCAGTTTGCTAGTATTTCATTAGGATTTTTGTGTCTATATTCATAAAGGATATTATTCTCTAGTTTTTTTGGTAATGTCTTTGGTTTTTGGTATGTAGGTGATATTGACAACATAGATTTCAAGTTAGGAAGTGTTCCCCCCAACCCCTTCTATTTTTTTGAAGAGTTTGTGAAGGATTGGTTTTAATACTTCTTTAAATGTTTGTTAGAATTCATTAATGAAGCAATATGGTCCTGGCCTTTACTTTTAGGGAATTTTTTTTTTTTTTTCCAAATCTTTATTGTTGGATGTAAAATGTATTACAGATGTTCCACATTTTTCCCCCATTGACCCCCTCCTCCCCACTCCCGCCCCCCTCCCACCTTTTCCCACACTATTGTCGGTGTCCATTGGTTATGCATATAAGTTCTTTGGTTTATTTCTTCCCATCCCCACCCCCAACCCCTTTCCCTTTGAGGTTTGTCAGTCTAGCAATGAATTTGTGCTTCTTAATCCCTTCACCTTTTTCACCCATTCCCCAACCCCCCTCCCAACTAGCAACCAACAAAATGTTCTCTGTATCTATGAGAATGTTTCTGTTCTTCCTGTTCATTTTGTTTGTAGATTCCATTGTTGATAGATATGTATTCATTGCCATTTTGTTTGTTCATACATTTTATCTTTTTCTTCAAAAAGACCCTTCATCATTTCATATAATAACAGTTTGGTAGTGATGAACTCCTTTAACTTTTTCTTCTCTGGGAAAGTTTTTATATGTCCATCGATTCTAAATGACAGCTATGCAGGATAGAGTAATCTTGGTTGTCGGTTCTTGGTTTTCATCACTCTGAATATTTCTTGCCACTCCCTTCTGGCCTGCAAAGTTTCTTTTGAGAAATCAGCTGACAGCCTAATGGGAACTCCCTTGTAGGTAACTAGCTGCCTTTCTCTTGCTGCTTTTAAGATTCTCTCTTTGTCTTGAACCTTTTGCATTTTGATGATGATGTGTCTTGGTATGTGCCTCTTGGGGTTCATCTTGTTTGGGACTTCTGTGCTTCCTGGACTTGTATGTCTGTTTCCTTCACCAAGTTAGGAAAGTTTTCTGCCATTATTGTTTCAAACAGGTTTTCGATTTCTTGTTCTCTCTCTTCTCCTTCGGGCACCCCCAAGATGCGAATGTTGGCACGCTTGAAGTTGTCCCAGAAGCTTCTTACACTATCCTCATTTTTTTGGATTCTTTTTTCTTTTTGCTGTTCTGATTGGGGATTTTTTGCTTCCTTATATTCCAAATCGATGGTTTGCTCCTTCGATTTACATACTCTATTATTGAAGCTGTGTAAATTATTCTTTATTTCAGTTAATGCCTCCTTCAATTCTAATGTGTATCCTTGATTTCTAACTGGTCCTTTTTTATGCTCTTGAGGCCCTCCCTAAGTTCACTGAGGTTCTCACTAAGTTCATTGAGCATCCTTATAAGCAGTATTTTGAACTCAGTATCTGTTAGGTTGCTTATCTCCTTTTCGCTTAGTTCTTTTCTTGGGGTTTTCTGTTCTTTCATTTGGGACCTGTTTCTTTGTCTCCTCATTTTGGCTGCCTCCCTGTGTTTGTTTCTGTGTATTACTTAATGAGAGGTATGGGGCTCGCTGAGACCCGATGCTGCTCATTTAAAAGAATTTAGGAAAAACCTGAAGCAGGATCCAAGACCAATCCTATGGTTAAGCAAGTGGCAACAGCTTGGGTGGGCTTGAAAGTTGTGTGGGGCGGGGCGGAACTTCAGGGAGTCAGCAGGGCGGGGCTGCCAGTGTGAGCCAGGTTGCTGGAGTCCCAGATATGGCTTCTGTCTGCCACCCCCGGGAAGGGCTCACCAAAGGAACAAAGGCCTCTTACAGCACGTTTGTCCCCGAGGAAGCCCCCTCTCCAGCCCTCGCTCCAGTGCCAAACAGCTCAGTTCTTCCCTGTATGTCTCTGGTGCCCCTGGAGCTGCCTTCCCTCCAAGCTTAGAGGGAGAGAGTCTGATAAGTCCGTGCGCGGGCCCTTTAGGGAGCTGCCTGGGGCTCCAGCCGCCTCAGCTTCCCTGAGCCTCAGTTTCCTCTGTTTTTTCCAGCCAGAAGTTATGGGGACTTCTCTTCCTGGCACTGTAGCCCTGAGCGGGGCACCTGGTGTGAGATGGGGACCCCTCAGTCCTCAGGAAGGACCTTCCCAGCCACAGGAGCCTCCTGATTTTTATCCGCCACACGTGGGTGTGGGACCAGCCCGTCTCGCCACCGCCGCCGCTGCTGCCACCCCTTGCGCTGCCGCCCTCCTACCAGTCTTGATATAGCTGCTTTTTTTTCAATTCTGTAGTTGTAGGACTTCTATTCAGCTTGATTTCAGGCGGTTTTGAATGATGGTTGTTCTCTAGTTTAGTTGTAACTTTGATGTGGTTGTGGGAGGACGCAATACCGCGTTTACCTACGCCGCCATCTTGACCAGAAGTCCTTTTGGGAAATTTTTAAAATTACTAATTCAGTATCTTTCCTTGTTCTAGGTACCTATACAAATTTACCAGTATTTCTTTTTAGCCCTAAATATTTATTCCTTTAATCATTCAAGAAATATTTATTGCCCTGGCCAGTTTAGCTCAGTGGTTAGAGTGGTGGCCTGCAGTCCAGAGATACCCAGGTTCGGTTCCTGCTAAGGGCACATACCTCAGTTGCAATTTGTCCCCGGCCCTGGTTGGTCGTGCAGGTGGCGGCCACTCGATGTGTTCCTTTCACATCGATGTCTCTCTCTCTCTCTCCACTCTATCTGAACAAGAAATGGACAAATGTCCTCAGGTGAGGATTAAAAAAATATATATATATTTATTAAGCATCTATTATATCCAGGCCCTGTTCTTGACGTAAAGATAGAACAATGAATAAAACAAACATCTCACCCTCTTAGGACTTAACATTCTCGTATTCTTCCCCTTATTCTCATGCTGTCTATATATATATGTATTTTTGTTTATATTTATATGTAATGTAGCTCTAATCCTTGTTTTAAAAAACTGTTACATGCCATTGGTGGAGAAATGGAGTCCTTAAGGTTGCTATATACAGGGTGGGGCAAAAGTAGGTTTACACTTGTTCTTATGAAAAATAATATAATAATTAATAAATAATACAATAATAAACTCTGTTTTACATACTTACAACTGTAAACTTATTTTTGCCCCCAACCCTGTATATTGTCATAGTTTGTATAAACTCTTAGTTATTCTTGAGCAGAGTTGTATGTGTGGGTAGTGGAATATATTGTTATTACAAGGGTGCTTACCCTTGGCATTGCCACAAGGACATATTTTTAATAAAACAAGCCATCATCTATCTTTGTTCATTTTCATCCTCAGGACCATCAGTGCTTTCTAATCTGTAGGAGCATGTATTAGTTTTTTAAGACTGCTGTGACAAAGTACCACAAACTGGGTTGCTTAAAATGAGGAATTTATTCTCCCACAGTTCTGGAGGCTAGGAGTCTGAAGTCAAGGTGTTAGCAAGGCCATGCTCCCTCTGGGACTCTGGGTAGAATCCTTCTTTATCTCTTCCTAGCATCTTGTGGTGGCTGTCAATCCTTGTCATTCTTGCCTTGCAGCTGCATTACTCCAGTCTCTGCCTCTGTCATCACATGGTGGTGTCCCTGTGTGTCTTTTGTTCATATATTGTTTTACTCTTATAAGGACACCAGTCATATTGGATTGGGGCTCACCCTAATGACCTCATGTTAACTTGATTACCTCTGAAAGGACTCTATTTCCAAGTAAGGTCACATTGACAGGTACCAGGGGTTAGGATTTCAACATATTTTGGAAGAGGAGACCTAATTCAACTCGTAATAGAGCACTATGCTCTAAGTGTGAGATATTATTTTGAGGCCTCACTAACATTACTAATTTTAATAAATTCTGTAAAAATTTCATGATATATTTCTCTGTCTTTAAAAAAAAAAAAATGTTTCTTTTCCCTTATACAATAAGCCTTGAAGTTGTCGTTGATCATACACATACATGTTTTATCTTCTTCTAAGCATAAATACTGGAAAGGAAGCAGAGAAGATTGGTTCTATAACTAGAGCTTGTCAGAAATGTTCAAAAGTAGCATCTCTTAAATCACAGTTTATGTGCCCCACCCCCCTCAAATTAAACAGAATTACATAAAAGTGTGGGAATGATGTTTGGAACAGCAGTTGAATACTTATATATACCACAATCACAGGAATTTTATACATAGACCAGTTTAAGCAGTGCCAGAATCCATCTCTGTGGTGAAATAAAGTAACATGGTTTATGAAATTTTATTCATATGTGTTAGATTGGAAATGACAAGTGCTATATAGAATACAAGGTAACTTTGAAACAAAGTTAAAAGAACAGAATAGTATCTTCTGAGAATCAGCCTAGTGGTCTCATTGTTAGTTTCAATTGTTTTTAATAATGTTCCCGAGTATTTTTTTTACTCATAAATGCTATTATCTCTATTTTGTCACAATGCAATTATTTTAGTGTCTGTGACTCCTTAGTATTCTAGTGTGGTAAATATAGCACTCTTGGGGTCAGGAATGGAGAATCTGGATTCTTTTTTAAAAGCAAAGCCCATCCTCTGGCACAGAAATACTGAGACATTGTTCACATTTGTTGCTTCCGCCAAGTATTGAGCTCTACCTTTAATATTTAACTATTTGTTCGTTGGTTACTCTGTCATTTTGAATTAAGGCATTGACTTTTTACATTCTTATGGCCACCTTACCTCTTTTTGCTTAAATTTCAATTATGTAACAATAAAGAAAATTGTACTTAATCTTTTTTTTTTTCTTTTAAAACAATTCAGGGCAATCTAGAGCAGCTATGATACCGCCCAAGCAACCACGGCAGCCTAAGGGGGCTTTGGATGATGCCTGTACCTTTCGTGGGAAAACAGACCAAGAAGCACCTAATGCTTACCAAACTAAACCACCCCCACTGCCAAAGAAAATGATCATAAGAGCCAACACAGAGCCAATCTCCAAAGACCTCCAAAAATCCATGGAAACTAGTCTTTGTGTCATGGCTAATCCCACCTATGATATCGATCCCAACTGGGATGCCAGCAGTGCTGGCTCTTCCATCAGTTGTGAACTCAAAGGACTGGACATTGAGTCTTGTGACTCCTTGGAGAGATCTTTGCACAAGGAACAACCTGTCCCTTCAGCAGCAAACAGCATCTCCAGCTTAACCACTCTCAGTATTAAGGATAGATTTTCCAACAGCATGGAGTCCCTATCCAGTCAACATGGTCCCTCTTGGAGACAGGGCCAAGGCATCCAGAAGCCACAGAGACACGCACTTTATCGAGGACTTGAGAATCGGGAAGAAGTGGTGGGGAAGATCCGAAGCCTTCATACAGATGCCTTAAAGAAATTGGCTGTTAAATGTGAAGACCTCTTCATGTCTGGGCAGAAAGACAAGCTTCGTTTTGGGGTAGACAGCTGGTCAGACTTCAGGCTAACCAGTGACAAGCCATGTTGTGAGGCAGGTGATGCAGTTTATTACACAGCTTCATATGCAAAAGATCCACTTAATAGTTATGCAGTCAAGGTAAGAAAATATTATAAATCTGATTTTAATCTTATCCAACACCCTGTTATTGGGATGGATTTGTTCTTCTCTCTCCCATTACTCCATTCAGCAAAAAGTTATTGAGCATTTATCTCATACCAAATAGTGTAATAAGCAGGGGGCGTACTTATTATTTAGAGGAGAAAACAAACATGAAAGAGACAGACTTATAACACAGGATACTAAGTGCTAAGATAAAGGTAAACACCGTTCTTGGGAGTTTAGAAGAACCTTAACCCTGACTCTAAAGGTCAAAGAAGTCTTCTTAAGGTAGGTAATTCTTGAGCTGTGACTGTTTGCAAAGGCTGCTATACAAATGAGATCTGTTGTTATGTGTCTTCCGCTCCATGTTTCTTTATTCTCTAGCAAATAAGAAACCCTTGTCTTTCCATACTCTGTTTCCTTGAGAAATATTTTTATAGAGGAAGATAAGCAATATTTGTTAATGTTCCAAGAACTGTGTTAGTGTTATAATTTAATCTTCACGTCAACTTTATGAGTTTAAGATCTTTTTTATTCATTTGACAGATGAGGAAAATAAAGCCCATAGAGGTGAGCTAATTTTCTTAGGGTCATACAGTTAGAAATTAGAAGAGCTGGTATTTAGATACCAATCTCTCTGGGATAATAATGATATCTATGGTATTGTTTGGTTAAAAGAGAACAAAATATCCCTGATAAGTACTCATTTCCTTCACTGTCCCTTAGTTTCTTCTCATATTATTTTAAGAGAGTAACAGTGGTGAGCCTCAGTTTCCTCCTCTTTCAGAAGTTTACAGTGATAATACTTCTACTTTGTGGGACTGAGGTTGGGGTCAAGTGAGATAATGCACATGAGAGTTTTTAAAAACACAAAATGCCTATGTAAATTTAAGGTAAAGTTCTCCATTCCCATAGTTCCTTTTTACTGAATCTATACAATCTATAATTGTTCAAAACCAATTAACATAGTTAAATGACTTGTATATGTTAATTTGGCTTAGAAAGACCAGATGGTGTCTTAATAAATTAATAGGTAAGGTCAACTACTGACCTTACATGTCTGTCAGGATAGAATGTATACCTGGACCAGACCTTTAGCTAGCTGTCATCTACGATTGCAGCAACTTCACTGTGCAACTGGCAGAATGACTCTGAGCCCCAGCCTACACTTTTTTAACTGGGGGGTAAACTATAGAGAGAGAATCTGGATTCAAGTTAATATATTACTGTTGAATCTGAAGAATCATTTTGAGATTCTGTGTAGCACTCAAGAGCTGTTATATCAGTTAGGGCCTCATCTATATTGGTCCTTTATTGCTACAATACAAGATTGTCAATGCAGGATGAGTACTTATTTCAGAAAGGAGCATTTATTATTTCAAAACAATTGAGAAGTAGAAGTAGAGCTTGACTAACTTTATATATTATCGCCAGTCATACAGTCTTATCTCTTTCCTACATCAATGATCTGATATTGATTTCTTTGCTTATAATATGCAAAAGCAATCCCCAAAGAACAGGTAGCAGGTGGTGATATATGGGCAGTTGTTGGGATATTTGGGAAAGGATGTCTTACACTAAATGGTGACTATAAATGTCTCTTCGAAGACCATTTGGGCTTTTCTAGAAATACCCAATTGATGGTGATATATGGGCAGTTGTTGGCATATTTGGGAAAGGATGTCTTACACTAAATGGTGACTATAAATGTCTCTTTGAAGACCATTTGGGCTTTTCTAGAAATACCCAATTGATGGTGATATATGGGCAGTTGTTGGCATATTTGGGAAAGGATGTCTTACACTAAATGGTGACTATAAATGTCTCTTTGAAGACCATTTGGGCTTTTCTAGAAATACCCAATTGATTGTACAACCTTAGAGAGAGAAGCTACTAGGACACTGTGCCCTTCTTTTGCTGCAGAGATAAGCAAAAGAGACTAGCAGTTGGCTCACACTAACAAATTTTTACTGTTTTTCTCAAGATATCTTTTCCTATACTGGAATCTACAATAGTCTACCAGGTATGGCTTTCTTTTTGAAATTTATTTTTCAATTACAGTTTAATACAATATTATATTAGTTTCAGGTGTACAACATAGTGATTGAACTTTTATATACCTTACAAAATGATTTTCACTGACTCCTGAGGGCCACAGACTGCAAATTGTGGTCCTTCTGCCTGGTGTTGTTCACATCAATAGGACGAGACAGTACTCAATAAAGCAAGTCAGAAACTTTATTCTTTGGCCAAGGAATGGAAAAGGATGACTAAGATCTTTTCTTTCTGTATTGGAGGAAATAAGAAAGTCTTATAGGTTGACCTTGAGGGAGATAGGCAGGTTTAGGGGTACAGATTCCTGAGGAAGGGTGGAGAGTTTTCAGATTTACAAGGCAAGCATGTGCAATTCTTAAATGTGCTTGGAAAATGCCTAGCTATACATCTTAAAGCATTCCCATTTTAATGTTAAATCTCCACTCATGAGCATGATTTTTAGTGTGCTGATGAAGAAAAGTTTTTCCAAAGTTCTCTTGGGAATGGGTTTCTGGCACCATCTTGGATCTTTTCAGTACAAAGGAGTTTCTCAGTAGAGGTCCTTGGGTTTCTTATCTGATTTCTGCCAGCAGGCTTAGCTAGCCCTGGAATTTTTATCTTTTCTTGCGCAGTTCAGCCTTCTATTGTCAGGGGATATGTTGATGAGAACAAGTCAGTAGAAGTTTAAAGATTAACTAAATGTGGTGGCACAGCCAGGTGACATGATCACCCCAATAAGTCTAGTAATATTATTGACTATATTCCCTATGCTGTATTTTACATCCTTGTGACTGTTTTTATAATTGGCCATTTATAGTTCTTAATCCCTTTCACACTTGCCCATTCCCGCAGCTAGCCTCCCCACCCCCCCACCAAATCTGGAAACCATCAGTTTGTTCTCCTGTGAGTTTGTTTCTGTTTGGTTTGTTCTTACATTTGTTTGTTTGTTTCCACATATAAGCGAAATCATATGGTATTTATCTTTCTCTGTCATATTTCACAGAATACCTTCTAGATCCATGCATATCATCATTCATTTTTATGGCTGAGTAATAATTCATTGTTTATATATCTCACTTCTTTATCCATTTGTCTATTGGCGAGCACTTGGCTGTTGTAAATAATATTACAGTGGATATAGGGATGCATATGTCTTTGAATTAGTGTTTTGGATTTCTTCAGATATATACCCAGAAGTGGCATTGCTGGGTCTTATGGTAGTTCTATTCTTAATTTTTTATGAAACTAATTACTGTTTTTTATAGTGGCTGCACCAGTTTACAATTTCACCAAAGTGCATGAGGGTTCCCTTTCCCCCACATCCTTGCCAACACTTGTTTTTGTTAATTTATTGATGATAGCTTCTCTGACAGGTGTAAAGTGATATCTCATAGTTGTTTTAATTTGCATTTCCCTGGTGATTAGTGACATTAAGCACAGGGAGGTAGCACAGAGGAAAAGAAGGTGTTCTGAAATGACTCTGGGGATGGTTCTTGGCTGCTTTTATTAGCTGGGGACAAAACAGGCTTATGTGAAAAGGTGGGCTTTTGAAAAAGGCAGACTTATGAAGGCTTCAGGGAGTAAAATTTTCCATGTCAGAAGGGGAGAAGGGTTTACTTCTTCCTTCTGTGGTGTTGCTTGGCAACTATGTCCAGGCTTGCCCTGTTTGGGGGCAAGATGGTGGTGGTGCTCATTACTCCCACCCTAGAAAGGTCCTGTAGTGATCAAACCTTGATCAGCTGTGCATGCTTATTAGTAATTTGGTAGGCAGACGGGAGATAAAATCCGCTACCTCTGCGTTTTTTAGTGGGAGTGGAGGGTTGGTGACATTTTTTGGGGTCCAGCATTCCTTCTGGCCATCTTGCTTCCTCAGGATCCAGGCCCTGGCCTGTGTGGTTCAGTTGGTTGGGCATCATCTGGTGCACTGAAAAGTTGCCAGTTTGATTCTCAGTCAGGGCACATGGCTGGGTTATGGGCTTGATCCTCAGTAGGGGATGTGTAGAAACAGCTGATCTGTGTTTAATTCTCATATCAGTGTGTGTCTCTCTGTTTCTCCCTCTCCCTCTCTAAAAATTAATCAAGTATTCTTTAAAAAAAAAAAAATAGGGTACTGGCTTGTGTGACTCAGTTGGTTGGGCATCGTCCTGGGCACCAAAAGGTTGCTGGTTCAATTACTGGTCAGGGCACATGCCAGAATTGCAAGTTTGATCCCCAGTAGTGGGCACATGGGAGGCAGCCAATTGATGTTTCTCTCTCTTCTCTCTAAAAATCAGTAAAAAATATTTTAAAAATAAATAAATAAATAAGACAAAGGCCTTGCCTTCAGTGAGCTTATATTACAGTGAGAAACACAAAGGCATAAGTAACTTTTAAATAGGACATTATAATGAAGGTTCAGATTTGCAGAGATGTAAAGATAAATGAAGATGAATGAATGAAGTCATTGTTAACACTAATCTCAGGGCCAATAAGAAAAGAGCTTCTTTTGTCTACTTTACTGTGGTGAATATAGTGCATGTAGAGAATATTGGAAAATTAGGCTGTGGAGAGATTTGGGACCACATTTAGAAGCTTTGAATGATGAGCTTAAGAGGTTAGACTTTATTTTTTGTAGGAAGCCACTAAGGATTTTTAAACAAGAGATATAACATGAGATTAATGATTTTAGAAAAAAACTGTTGTGGAAAAGTCCAGGACTGGAAGCAGAGAAGCCAGTTGTTATGCTCTTGAAATATTCCAGGTAAATAATAATGAGACCCTGAAATAAAACAGTGGAAAAGAAGGGGCAGATGGTGAAAGAGCTGAGGCAGGCAGTAGACCACGTCTGGTGAATGGCTGGATGTGGGATAGGGCAGTAATGATAAGATTTCAAGAAGAAACAAGCCCAGGAGGGTGGAGATGTTATTCACAGAAGTGCACAATAGGAAGATGAGCTCTTTATGAAGCATGCCATGGAACCCAAG